AGGTAGTGGCAGGTGTTTTACACACCATGAGGTAGTGGCAGGTGTTTTTCACACCAGTAGGTAGTTGCAGGTGTTGCATACACCAGGAGGTAGTGGCTGCTGTTGTACACACCAGCAGGTAGTGGCAGGTGTTGTATACACCAGCAGGTAGTGGCAGGTGTTTTACACACTAGCAGGTAGCGCCAGGTGTTTTACACACCAGCAGGTAGTGGCAGGTATTGTATACACCAGGAGGTAGTGGCAGTAGTTGTATACACCAGCAGGTGGTGGCAGGTGTTGTATACACCAGAAGGTATTGGCAGGTGTTTTGCACAATAGCAAGTAGTGTCAGATGTTTTACACTCTAGCAGGTAGTCGCAGGTGTTTTACACACCAGTAGGTAGTGGCGGGTGTTTTACACACCAGCAGGTAGTAGCAGGTGTTGTATACACCAGCAAGCAGTGGCAAGTGTTGTACACATCAGCAGAAAGTGGCAGGTGTTGTACACACTAGCAGGTAGTGGTAGGTGTTTTACACACCATCAGGTAGTGGCAGGTATTTTACACACCATCAGGTAGTGGCGGGTGTTGTATACACCAGCAGGTAGTGGCAGGTGTTGTATACACCAGCAGGTAGTGGCAGGTGTTGGCAGGTGTTTTACACACCATGAGGTAGTGGCAGGTGTTGTATACACCAGGAGGTAGTGGCTGCTGTTGTACACACCAGCAAGTAATGACAGGTGTTTTACACACCATGAGGTAGTGGCAGGTGTTTTACACACCAGTAGGTAGTCGCAGGTGTTGCATACACCAGGAGGTAGTGGCTGCTGTTGTACACACCAGCAGGTAGTGGCAGGTGTTTTACACACCAGCGGGTAGTGGCAGGTGTTGTATACACCAGCAGGTAGTGACAGGTGTTGTATACACCAGGAGGTAGTGGAAGGTGTTTTGCACACTAGCACGTAGTGGCAGGTGTTTTACACACCAGCAGGTAGTGGTGCTGGCATACACCAGACAGGCTGGCAGGTGTTGGGTATACATCAGCAGCAGTGGCAGGTGTTACAATAGTAGAGTAGTGGCAGGTGTTTTCGCACTGGCAGGTAGGTGGCAGGTGTTTACACCAGCAGGTAGTGGCAGGTGTTTTACACACTTGTAGTGGCAGGTGTTGTATACACCAGCAGGTAGTGACAGGTGTTATATACACCAGGAGGTAGTGGAAGGTGTTTGCACACTAGCAGTGTGGCAGGTGTTTTACACACCAGCAGGTAGTGGCAGGTGTTGTATATGCCAGGAGGTATTGGCAGGTGTTGTATACATCAGCAGGTAGTGGCAGGTGTTGCATACACCAAGAGATAGTGGCAGGTGTTTTACACACTAGCAGGTAGTAGCAGGTGTTGTACACAAAGGAGGTAGTGGCAGGTGTTTTACACACAGGCAGGTAGTGGCAAGTGTTTTACACACAAGGAGGTAGTGGCAGGTGTTTTATATAACCAACCGGTAGTGGCAGGTGTTGTATACACCAGGAGGTATGGCAGGTGTTTTACACACCATCAGGTAGTGGCAGGTGTTTTTACACACCAGCAGGTAGTCGGTGTTGTATACACCAGCAGGTGTGCAGGTGTTCTACACATCAGCAGATAGTGGCAGGTGTTGTGCACTAGCAGGTAGTGGCAGGTGTTGTATACACAGGCAGGAAGTGGCAGGTGTTTTACGCACAAGCAGGTAAGTGGCAGGTGTTGTATACACCAGCAGGTAGTGGCAGGTGTTTTACACACAGCAGGTGGCAGGTGTTGTAGTGTTGTTGTATACACCAGCAGGTAGTGGCAGGTGTTGTGCACTAGCAGGTAGTGGCAGGTGTTTTACACAAGCTGGTAGTGGCAGGTGTTATATGCACCAGCAGGTAGTGGCAGAAGGTTATGCACTAGCAGGTAGTGGCAGGTGTTTTACACACCAGCTGGTAGTGGCAGGTGTTGTATACACCAGCAGGTGGTGGCAGGTGTTGTATACACCAGGAGGTAGTGGCAGGTGTTTTACACACCAGCAGGTAGTGGCAGGTGTTGTACACACTGGCAGCTAGTGGCGGGTGTTGTACACACCAGCTGGTAGTAACAGTCTTGTATACACCAGCAGGTGGTGGCAGGTGTTGTATACACCAGGAGGTAGTGGCAGGAGTTGTCACCAGGAAGAAGTGGCAGGTGTTGTACACACTGGCAGCTAGTGGCAGTGTTGTATACACCAGGAGGTAGTGGCAGGTGTTGTATGCAGTGGTGTGGCAGGTGTTGTATATACCAGCAGGTAGTGGCTGGTGTTGTGCACTATCAGGTAGTGGCAGGTGTTTTCACACCAGCTGGTAGTGGCAGGTGTTGTATACACCAATAGGTAGTGGCAGGTTTGTATACACCAGGAGGTAGTGGCAGGTGTTGTATACACCAGGAGGTAGTGGCAGGTGTTATACCACACAGGAGGTAGTGGCAGGTGTTGTATACAGGAGGTAGTGGCAGGTGTTGTATACAGCAGGTGTGGCAGGTGTTGTGCACTATCAGAGTAGTGGCAGGTGTTTTCACACCAGCTGGTAGTGGTAGGTGTTGTATACACCAGCAGGTGGTGGCAGGTGTTGTATACACCCAGGAGGTAGTGGCAGGTGTTTTACACACCAGCAGGTAGTGGCAGGTGTTGTACACTAGCAGCTAGTGGTGGGTGTTGTACACACCATTTGGTAGTGGCAGGTGTTGTACACACTAGCAGCTAGTGGCGGGTGTTGTACACACCAGCAGGTAGTGGCAGGTGTTTTACATACCAGCAGGTAGTGGCAGGTGTTGTATACACCAGGAGGTAGTAGCCGGTGTTGTATACACCAGCAGGTAGTGGTAGGTGTTGTACACACCATCAGGTAGTGGTGTGTTGTACACCAGCTGGTAGTAACGGTGTTGTATACACCAGGTGGTGGCAGGTGTTATACAACAGCAGGTAGTGGCAGGTGTTGTGCACTGCAGGTAGGTGGCAGGTGTTTGACACCAGGAGGTAGTGACAGGGTGTTGTACACCGGAGGTAGTGACAGGTGTTGTATACACCAGGAGGTAGTGGCAGGTGTTGTGCACTAGCAGGTAGTGGCAGGTGTTTTAGACACCATCAGGTATGGCAGGTTTGTATGCACCAGGAGGTAGTGACAGGTGTTGTATACACCAGGAGGTAGTGACAGGTGTATACACCAGGAGGTAGTGGCAGGTGTTGTGCACTAGCAGGTAGTGGCAGGTGTTTTTTAGACACCAGGAGGTAGTGACAGGAGTTGTATACACCAGGAGGTAGTGACAGGTGTTTTATACACCAGCAGGTAGTGGCAGGTGTTTTAGACACCAGGAGGTAGTGACAGGTGTTGTATACACCAGGAGGTAGTGACAGGTGTTGTATACACCAGGAGGTAGTGGCAGGTGTTGTGCACTAGCAGGTAGTGGCAGGTGTTTTAGACACCAGGAGGTAGTGACAGGTGTTGTATACACCAGGAGGTAGTGACAGGTGTTGTATACACCAGGAGGTAGTGGCCGGTGTTGTATACACCAGCAGGTAGTGTAGGTGTTGTACACCATCAGCGAGGTTGTATACACAGGGAGGTAGTGCAGGTGTTTTATACACCAGCAGGTGTGGCAGGTGTTATATACACCAACAGGTACAGTGTTGTGCACTAGGTGTAGGTGTTTTAGACACCAGGAGGTAGTGACAGGTGTTGTTATACACCAGGAGGTAGTGACAGGTTTTGTATACACCAGGAGGTGAAGTGACAAGTGTTGTATACACCAGCAGGTAGTGGTAGGTGTTGTATACACCAGCAGGTAGTGGCAGGTGTTGTGCACTAGCAGGTAGTGGCAGGTGTTTTAGACACCAGGAGGTAGTGACAGGAGTTGTATACACCAGGAGGTAGTGACAGGTGTTTTATACACCAGCAGGTAGTGGCAGGTGTTGTATACACCAGCAGGTAGTGGCAGGTGTTGTGCACTAGCAGGTAGTGGCAGGTGTTTTAGACACCAGGAGGTAGTGACAGGAGTTGTATACACCGGGAGGTAGTGACAGGTGTTGTATGCACCAGGAGGTAGTGACAGGTGTTGTATACACCAGGAGGTAGTGGCAGGTGTTTTACACCAGCAGGTAAAGTGGCAGGTGTTGTATACACCAGCAGGTAGTGGCAGGTGTTGTGCACTATGAGTAGTGGCAGGTGTTTTAGACACCAGCAGGTAGTGGCAGGTGTTGTATACACCAATAGGTAGTGGCAGGTTTTGTATACACCAGGGGTAGTGGCAGGTGTTATATACGCAGGAGTGTGTGGAGGTGTTGCATACACCCAGGAGGTAGTGGCTTGGGTGTTGTATACACCAGGAGGTAGTAGCAGGTGTTGTATGCACCAGGAGTTAGTGGCAGGTGTTGTATACAGGAGGTAGTGGAAGGTTTTGTATACACCAGGAGGTAGTGGCAGGTGTTGTATACACCAGGAGGTATGGCAGGTGTTGTATACACCAGGAGGTAGTAGCAGGTTTTGTATACACCAGGAGGTAGTGGCAGGTGTTGTATACACCTGGAGGTAGTGGGAGGTGTTGGGCACTAGCAGGTAGTGGTAGGTGTTTTAGACATCAGCAGGTAGTGGCAGGTGTTGTAGTGGGAGGTGTTGGGCACTAGCAGGTAGTGGTAGGTGTTTTAGACATCAGCAGGTAGTGGCAGGTGTTGTATACACCAATAGGTATAGGTTTTGTATACACCAGGAGGTAGTGGCAGGTGTTGTATACACCAGGAGGTAGTGGCAGGTGTTGTATACACCAGGAGGTAGTGGCAGGTGTTGTGTACACCAGGAGGTAGTGGCAGGTGTTGTATGCACCAGGAGGTAGTGGCAGGTGTTGTATACACCAGGAGGTAGTGGAAGGTGGCGTGCAGGTAATAGCGTGCTCAAGGTTCTGACTGCTGGGGGAGGCACTCAGGGGAGGTAGGTGGGAGGGAGGGCTATCTCAGAGGGAGGAGTATGTCGGCAGTGAGGCGAGGTTTACGGGTGCACCAGTGTGTCTTGTGGAGACTCTAGCAGTGGTCAGTGCTCCTCACTCCGCTGTCAGTATCGTTCATCTTTCACCACCGACAACTATTGAAGTCATTTTATTTCTGTGTTAAAAAAATCGTGGTACAGTACATCTCCTTCTGGCCACACGTACTGTAATAGTCGTTCTCAGGGGAAGAATGACCCCTGGAGGTGGTCTGGATGACATTCCTTCCCTCCAGCACTATTAGTTTTTTAAAAAGCCAGAGAACAAAATTCTGCAAGCCTGAAGAACAGCATTTAACATGCATGAAGAACAACATTCAACATACATAAAGAACAAGATTCATCTTGCATGAAGAACAACATTCAGTAAACATGATGTACCCCACTACGCCCACCACACAGATCTATTCTCCATGGTCCAATTAGCTAAGGCAATTATTCCGTGATTGTGTTGATAGCAGCTCTAACGATCTTCAGATAGCTGTTTAGGGACGATGTTTTGTCAGTGTGCCGGAAACTCCTCATCTGAACGAAAATACCCATGAGATTCATAGACAGCAAAGGCCGTCGTGTTCCAGACGTAAAAATAAATGAAAACCACGTAACTCCCGAATTAGATATTTTTTAATAGCTCGTGCCGCAGAGAAGATAAAACAAATGACAGAAAATAGCGAATTAGTGTTACCATGTCTTGCAGTAGTCACAATATGGCAGTCTAGGTTCGTTCAGCTCCTCTTCACGCCTGCAGCGGCCACGAATGTTGAGCCATATGTTTCAGGAAGAGGGGTACTTTCATGTAGATCAAGACCAGGTGTAACAGAAGCTGTACCAAACCAGGAAGAACAATTGTACCGCCAGGATGAAGGTGGGCAAGATTAACGAGGGATACAGCAGTCTGCGGGATGCTCATCTCGCGCACTACTTCTCCAGGGACGACGTGATCAAACACCTCGTGCACATGGGATTGGTAAGTACTTGACTAACTACTAAGCAGGTGTACACGGGTCTTGCAGATTTTTGTATAACACACACACACACACACACACAAATAAACACATCGAAACACTCGCCCACCACTGTCAACAGCCCCACTCTCACATGTAGGCCAGCTGTGAGGCGGTGATCAATGCAACCTGAATAGTTTGGACAGGTGGGCGTGGCTGTCTGGAGACCTCTTGAGTCGAGGCCCAGGTACGTTAATCAATGTTGCATACTCGGTCACGCCCACAGGACACACCAGGACACAAGAGAATAACACCTAAAACCTGCCTCTTTAAGGTCGTTTGCTTCATATATCTGGTGAATTGTAGCACCAGCTATTATTGTTTCAGCACTGTAGCACCAGCTTTTGTCTTTTACAGATTTTAATATAGCATGTAACTTTTTTTTATGCCTTTCATACCCCTTGAAGGTAGTTACTTGCACGCCGAGCAATTTACAAATGATTATAAAAGAATTACGAGCCTTGGTTAGCTGTTGGCCTTCACCCAGGTTGGGGAAACTGGCGGTTTTGGGGTAAGGTGCGATGGGGTGGGGAAGTGTGGTGCTGCATTAGGGAAGGAATGAGAAAAGCAAGAGAGGTGTAGATCAAAGGGAGGAGGAAAAATAGGGTTGGGAAGGAAGGTCAATAGGAAGACGATGTGAAAAAGGGAGAGGGGGAGGAGGAGGAGGAGGAGGAGGGGGAGGAGGAGGAGGAGGAAGTGAGGAAAGGGAAAGGAATAGATGATGAAAAAATGAAAAGAAAAAAAGTAGGTGGAAAAAGGAAGGGGAAAATGAAGTAAGTGGGAAAGAAGAGGAAAATGAAGTGGGGTAAGAAGGGGAGAAAGACGAGCAGGAAAAGGGGGAGAAGAGGGTGAAGAAGAAGAGGAGGGGGGTTAGGGTGAGAGGAGGAAGGAAAGAGCTTGAGGAGAACAGACAACAGGAAGGTGGCTCACTAGATGGACTATTGATTGCCTTCCACTGCTACCCTCTGTGTGTGTGTGTGTGTGTGTGTGTGGACACACGCTTGCGGGCAACTGAAAGGTATAAGGACAGTCTTAAGACAAACCTGAAAAAGTGCCAAATCGACCTCCTCACCTGGGAGACGATTACCCTGTTATGAAAACGAATGTAAGCACTGGGAGGCTTTATTCAACTTAATGCAACATCAGTATCCATAATTCTATAATAAACAGAATAAACAGGAATTAAAAATTAAAAATGACTAAGCTTCAAGTAACAAAATTGGCTTAACACAAATAAAATTAACATAACATAACATAAGAAATATAAGAGAACTTCTAACAATATAATCTAGAGCACCTCATAATACATCATACCCCACACCGTAACGCTTGGAGGATCACCACACAAGAAGGTGTCAATATTTTCGAGTTAGCCCAACTGCATAACGAGACAGACAAGCGTCAACGCCGGAAAGACGCTGCCGCCGCCCCTCCACACACTAGATGTAGCCCCCCCCCCCACATGTGCAACATCTGTGATCGACCCTGCCGGTCCCGTATCGACCTTTTTAGTTACCTCGGAACTCACCAACATAGGTGACATCCTTACTAACTCATATAATTGTATCATAGCTGGATGATCGTTATACTCGATTCCTAGTGACAGCAAAGTGGTTGTTGTGGTGTCCTTGTTTACCCATTATTTCCTACACATGGTTTCCCTTATCTTCTTCCCCTTCTTCTTTTCTTTTTCCTTTTTTTGTAGAGAGAGAGGGTGAAAGAAGATTAGAGGTGGAGGAAGGAAGTTATAGTTCGGAAATTGAAGAAATTAGGAGGTAGAAGGAGGCAGGCTGACCACCTTGCCATGGGTTAGCTAAGCTAATAGTGTGTTAGGGCTGTGTCATGGGTTAGTTATTGTCTGTCGGTACAAGTACTAGACAGCCTACCTTATCCCATACATGGGTGTTTTATTGGCCTTTTTTCATATTTCGCCAACCCTACTGGCGGATGCTGGTCTAGGAAGGTAGTCTATTGCCTGGCCATATAAATCGTTGTTGGTTGTTGTCGTCGTTGTCTGGTGGGAGACTTTGAAGGAGTTCTTGTTCTGAACGTTCTATCTTGTGTCAGATTCTGCTGGCCAGGGTGTGCAGCTGCTGGTTGATGGGTTTTATTCTCAGGTCTCTATGTATCTCGGTTGCGGATCTGGTCATGTGGTTCACATGTGACGAATCTCAGGGCTTCATTTTGGACCACCTGTAATTTTAATAATTGGGTGGTGCTCATAGTATGAAGAGGTACTGCTGGGTAATTTAATATCGGTATGATAAGTGATGTAACCAAATGGAGTTTTATTTTCTCAGGAAGCACGTTAAAACAATATAGTTTTTCGTCTCTCTTTTTGCCTTTTCCTTCCTGGTGTGGACATGGTGGGAGTAACCTGTGGTGGATATATGCATGCCCAGGAGGGTGCCTGTGTTTTTGTACTCTATCTGGGCATTGTTGGTTACCAATGGATAGGTTTTCCTTCTGCATTAGGGTATCATTGTGAATTTCGGGAGACTGGTTTGGATTTTCCATTTACTATCTTCCCTCTTCCATACCATCCCACCCCCTCCCTCCCTCCCTCCCTCCCTCCCTTAGCGGCCTTGCCTATTTATATCATCTTTTCCTCCATTTCAAGCCCCCCCCCTTTTGTCCCTCTCTTCCGACAAAGAATGTTTTTTCTTAAAAGGTTCCCTCCCTATTTACCTTACCCCACCATCGCCACGACATTCACTTCTTTCTTTCCCGTCAAAGAGAGCTACCACAACCTTCCTTCCCAAACTTCATAACTACAAATCATTCACAATTTTCCCCCGTCCAGGTGACGCGGAGGGGAGAAGTAGTGCCGGAAGCTGAGTGGCGGAGGCTGTACGCCAAGGAACAGAGAGAAGCCAGGGAGCTAGAGAAGGAAGAGCACAGGAGAAGACTTCAAGAGGCCGAGGAGGCGTCCAAGAGGAGAATCAAGGAGAAGATCAGGAAGAGAGAGGTGAGAGGAGACAGAGGAGGAGAGTCTGGACGGGAAGTGAGAGGAAGTGAGATTGGGTGAGAAAAAAAGTGGTGACAGGGTCAGGGGATGATGGAAGACGACGCCAAGAGATTTATGTTTGGCAGAATGATAAATTTTTCTGGAATGGGAGGAAGAAGAGGATAAAGGGGTAGAGAACAGGTGCATGGGGTTTACAGGTAAAAATGAACTAGAGCGTGAGACGGGTGGTTCTGTTACCCGGATCATAGCGGGTCACAGACTACGGGTCAGAAAATTCATAAAAAAGTGTGACGTTTTGGAGAGTGAGGCGTGAGAAGGGAAGTTGAGGGACGACAGTTGTAGAATTAATAAAGGGAAAAGTGATAAGAATTAACAGTTGGTGGGATTAGTAAACAAGCAGAAAGGAAATACCGTAACATAAACATGCCTTAGTCACCCTTTCAGAATTGTTTCCATCAAAGGCTTTTAGAAAAACTTAGTAGCCTGAGGCAAGACATTGATAATAAATACAAGAAGCTACTTCTGAGTTAGAGTTGTGAACTGTTGTAATAACCTGCCAGAGTGTGTTGTGGCGGCACCGAAGGTGAGCTCATTCAAGACCAGATACATCCTGGAGCCAGTACATGCCCAGTATTTGCCAACAATATGTAACAGAGCCAGTGCATGCCCAGTACTTGCCAAGAGTGTGTAACAGAAAACCAGTACATGTCCAGTACTTGCCAAGAGTGTGTAACAGAAAGCCAGTACATGCCCAGTACATGCCAAGGTTTTTAATTTAACAAATTTATTGACAAAGCTTGGAGTACAGTTTGCCTAATTTGAGTAATTCAGTCAGGTCTTGACACTGAGGGTGGTATTACTTCTCACTGCCACGCAGGACAGAGGTTCATACACAATGAAATACATCATATTCATTTACAGTATATATAGGTCAGAGTCATGTGGGTGATGTCACTGTTCACTGCCATGAAAGACAGTGGTTCATATACTTTGGACGTCATATTCTAATTGAAGATTAATCAGTGTGGGCTAGCAAATTTGGAATAAATAGCAAGAATGTCCTCAAGCACCCCCGATTCAATGAAGTAATTACAAAGTTCATGATACAATAAGCCAGGTGGCCTGAAGTCTTTGATAGTGTCACATTCAATAATATAGTGTTCAGGTGTATGCTTTAAAGGTTTATCACAAGGTTTACATGCTGAGTGTTCCGGTATGGGAACAGCGTTACTAACTTGCCAGATGTGTCTGTATCCTAGCCTAATTCTGGCCACAACTACATCACATTGTCTGGCTCTGTCCTTATGCTGGCAATACCGGTACCTCTCGTCACAAAATTTGTCATATTTACTAATGCTACGACTGCCAAGTCTCTCTGCATTTCTCAGTTCTTCTAGATCAGAGTTCATGATTCTGACTTGAATGTTTTTAAGTACTGTACGGCATTGGACAGGCCAAGGTCACGGTCAACATTTTCTTTCTTACATGCCTCATTGGCCAGTCTATCAGCACTGTCATGATACCTAATTCCAACATGGGACTGAATCCACACAAATTCGATAAGAGAGTTGTTCTCATT